AACAGACCTCTACCAGCCTAAAACCAATCTGATCTTATCAAATACTGGACCCAATTGACCTATACGGTCTAATTCTAGCCTAATTGGACGAACAGACCCTAGCATTAGACCTAAACCAGTCTAAACCGGCCTTAATTACCTCCAATCAGACCCTATTGGTCTGAACCGAACAATTCTAGCCCTTCCCAGACAAATCAGACCTTAACCAAGACCTAAATCACCCTAAACTAGTCTGAATTGCTCTAAACCGGACTCAATTGACCTAAACCGGACCTGAATTGACCTAAACCGGACTCAATTATCCTATGCCGAGTTGACTCGGACGTTGACTCACCCGATCCCTCCACTCAGCCCTAACTCGGACGAGTTCGGACCGAGCTTCGCCGGAATCGGACTTTCTCCGCCGAGTTTCACCGAGTTTCCTTTGAAACTCGGACTCAAATCGGAGAAAAAATGCGGAAAATAAAGAACCGAGTCGAAAGACTCACCTGGTTACCGGTTCTGAGACGAGTCTTCACCGCGTCGACTCCCAGAAACTTCACCTTGACGAATCTCGTCACCGGCGACACCGAGACTTCCCAGATCTGTTTCTCATCGTCGCCGATAAGCTCCTCCGATGGACTGAAAACACTCAGTAAACAGATCAAGACGCTCACACAGACTCGACTCGGAGAAACCGAAACCGAAACCCTAAATTACCTCACCTTTTCCGGCGAACTTACCTCCCTGGATCGTAACCGGAGCTCTGATACCACTTTGTGAAGTGGATATCGGATTTCTCACGGTTCTCTCCGACGCTCGTACGTGCAAGAAGAAGAAGACAGTCGGTTTTAACGAGTTCGGTTACCGAGTTTCCTCGGGCCTACATCTCGGCCGGACGGTGCCGGCGAATCCACTAGAGGCGGAAAGAAACAGTCGAGAAGAACAGACGGTGGCGCTCCACATCAATGATTGGAGGCTCACCGGGAAAGGAGACACAACACACACCGAGTTACAGAACTCACCTAGGGTCTTTGACCTTACCGTCTCGTGTTGCCGACCGCCGCCGCTCCTCCGCTTCGCCGGAAGAACCGCAACCCTTCGGATTGTCTCTCGATCGCTTCCTCTCTCGAACCTTCTCCCCTCTCGAGCACCGTGCCATTGCAACCCGATAATTAGTAGTCAATTAGGGTATTATCCCTAAAACACTCGAAACGCACAGCTTCGGAAAAGCCTCTCACGCAAAGAGAGGGTTTCTCTTTTTTCACCAAATGGGCCCTTAAGGCCCAACAGATTATACTTTCGAAAGTATAAAACCATATTCCATAAGGGGATTCTTTGCAAAAATATCCATGATTATTTATAAGATATTGTTTGTGCCTGCATTTTTTTGCTATCTCTTGGGGTGTAGTTGACTTTTTAAAGTGTATAAAAAAACTCTATTCTATAAAAGGATTCTTTTCAAAACAAAAATATCCGTGACTATAGAGTATAGTTTGGTTGCAATTTTTGCTAAATCTTAGGATCTAACCATCGTTGACTTTTATGAACATGTGAAAACAAGATGAGCCATTTTGGATTTTGGTTAGGTAATAGTAGGGTTCAATTATTTCGATATTTAGAAAATTATTATTATTTTATATTTATGATAAATTCAATTTGGTTTGGTTTGAATTTATTTTGATTAAATATCGGTTTGGTGTCAGATTTTATTGATAAAAATATGTATTTTTCAAAGATTTTTTGGTTATAATTTTTAATCGGTTTGGTTTGATTTTTTCTAGAGAATTTATAAACATTTAATTTTTATATCGGATTCGAATTAATTACGATTAAAATCAATTCAATTATTCGATTATTAAACCAAACTAATCGATATATTTAAAAGTATTTAGAAAAACCGTATTCTACAAGCGAATTCTTTACGTAACTATAATATCCATGACTATGTATAATATAATTTGTTTCCAGTTTTTGCTAACTCTTAGGATCTATCACCGTTGACTTTAAATAATCACATTGGTTACAGTGAACATTCAAAAAATCGGATGTTCATATAAGACCGTATGGGGTTTTGTCAGGACCGGTCACCCCTCGTTAAGGTGCAATTAAATTATGAATGTTTGTTTTTAATTAATTTTTTTAATCCTAATACGTTAAATTGGACCATATATTAAAGTGGGCCTCATATGGTTTTTTGATTTAATGGTTGGTGTTAAGCCCATTTAAGTATATTTGGGCTTTCTTGTTCCTATTTTAATTATTTTTTATTTGTTTTTTTAGTCCAGGAAAGATACATAGGATAAAATATATACCAATCCTTAACTTGTTCCTAGGAAACTAAACTGTCCTAATCCCACAAAAACCAAGTTTCTAAATTGAATTTGAAAACAATTCAATATATAGGTAAAAACGAAATATAATTAAAAAAAGAAAATTAGAAATATATAAGGAGGAGGAAGACAGCCAATTATTATTATGTTTTTACAAACATCCATTTGGAGGAAGACCCCGCAATTTAAATTAATTAAAAGGGAAACTAAATATATATGATAGAAGCTTAATAAATATTTATTTTTGAATCCAACCAACAAGAAAATCTATTAAAAATTGTAAGTATTTTTTTTTTATTTCCCTCGTTCGCATGATAGAAATTGGAAAACACAGCCATTCGTTGGCACCCTTCTCTAACTACCCACTTAACACAAAGCAGACGCCCTCAAGTAACCTAAAAGAAGAACAAAGAGAATTCTTGTAAGAACTTCCCCTTTCTCCTATATTTCCTATAAAATTTCATTCTTCATTAGAGTTTAAAAAAATATATTCTAAAATAATTTCTTAACTACCCACTTAGACACAAAAGCAGACGCCCTCAAGTAACCAAAAAAAAAAAAGAACAAAGAGAGGAAGAAAATTATTGTAAGAACTTACTCCTTTCTTTTCCGTTTTCTATAAAATTTTATTCTTTATTAGAGAAGATAGATCTAGACTTTATGAGAACGAATAATTAGGGAATGATTTGAAATTGTTACAAATTTTTAAAAAATTAACTCAAAATCAGAATGAATGAAGAGTTTTTTATAAGACGATGTTGATGTTGATGATATATTAGAGTTTAAAAGTTCTAAAATAATTTCATAAATTAATATGTGTTTAGCTATTTTTTTTTTATATTTGTGAGATTTAAATCTACAAGAATTAAGTGCGGAAAGAAAAATCTGACAAAACATTACCAAAAAGTATACGAGTCAATGCACAGTATCATTGAAATAATGTCTTACCTTTTCATAATGGTCAACCCGTTCTTTACGCACTACCAAGACGTTCGGTTTTGTTCCAAGTCTTCGCCGGCCGTCAACTCTCACAAGTCAAAGCTGACAGTTTCCATGGATCATTTTCCAGGCAATTCACTCACAGTTCCCCACTCCCTCATAAATTTGCTCACCATCCAAACAAGACCCTTCAACCATTTTCTCCACAATCAAAGGAAAACCGACCAAACCCGAAACCAGAACCATGTCTTTCTTCTCCGGCGTCCAATCTCCCGGGGCGAAATCCGTGGTATCCCTCGTGGCTTCTGCAGCTGCGACGGCCATGCTTGTCCGTTCGGTAGCTCGGGAATACATTCCTCATGACCTAAGCAACTACACATATCGGAAACTCAGAAAACTGTTCTCTTCCTTCTCCTCCGAACTAACCGTTGTGATTGAAGAGTTGGATGGTATGATGATCAACCGTCTCTTCAAGGCTGCCGAGCTCTACCTTGAACCAGCCCTTCCGCCTTCCGCCACAAGAATCAGAGTCTCCATCCCTTCCGGAGAGGACAAAACATCGATTTCCATGGAAGGCGGCGAAGAGATCATTGACAACTTCGATGGCGTCAGGCTGAAATGGAGGTTATATATAGTACATTAGCCTATAACGTTGACATTCAATTAGACAAAGTGATTTCTTTAGGAGTTGAAAATTTATTATGCTCATTCCTAGAAGCAAGATTTCCAAGTTTTATGAATATCAAATCAATATCTGGCTGTATACACAGCAGCAAAGAAACTCATTCAGTCAAGAAAAACACTATACCGGAAGATCAAGATCCTTTACCTTCTCCAAACTCTAAAGAAATGTTTTTGAAATCTTTTGTTGAAATCATAACTGATATAAATTTCTTAAAAACACAATGGACAGAAACATGTTTTATAGTTGTGTTCTTCCAAAACATGGTTCTTGGTTTGGTCGATGATGTAACATTTTCTGGCTTATAAACCAGTAACGAGTAACAATGACGACAGGTTTTTGTCAAGAGAAATCCCCCCGAGACGGGTATATCCGGACATGGATCAAAGGAACTCTGTTTCAATGTCCGAACAGAGGTTCTACGAGCTGAGATTCGACAAGAAACACAGGGAACTCGTTCTGGGGAAATACATCGAACACATTATGAGCAAGGCCAAGGAATCGATGAAGAGGAAGAGAACGCCGAGGCTGTTCACGCTTTCGCAGGAGAGGATTATTGGGATGAGAGGGAGCGCGTGGGAAGGTGTCCCTCTGCGTCATCCGGCGAGGTTCGAGACCCTCGCCATGGACGACAACGTTAAGAAGACGGTGATGGAGGATCTAGAGATGTTCGTCAAGAGAAGAGACTACTACAGGTACAAGTAGAAAAGAAATCGACTTTTTTTCTGATTCAGATCATGTCTGAACTCGGGTTCTTCTTGATCACAGGAAGGTAGGAAAGGCATGGAAAAGAGGGTACCTGTTGTTTGGGCCTCCGGGGACGGGGAAGTCGAGCTTGATCGCGGCCATGGCGGATCATCTGCAGTTCGATGTGTACGATCTGGAGCTGACGCAGGTGAGAGGGAACTCTGAGCTGAAGAAGATTCTCATGTCGACGGGGAACAAATCCATCCTCGTCGTCGAGGACATCGACTGTTCCGTACAGCTCCGGGACCGGCTCTCGCCGGAGACCGTCATGACGACCCCGTTTGGACACAGAGAAGTAACCCAGGTAAAAACGATACGACGTCTTACCACGAAGTATCAATTATAGGCGTAGTTTCTGGAGTTTTTAAAATCTAAAAAAAATGACAATACTTTCGTCACAAAATCAATTTAAAACTAAAAAACTTTTTTTTCTTGTATTTAAAAAAACAAAATCTAAAAATAAAAAATCAAAAACCAAAAACTAAAACCAAAAAACCAAAATAAAAACCAATACGTTTCCTGATTATAACTGATTCGATTTTTCGTAAACCGAATCCGATATAAATAATAATTATTATATTTTTGTACCCGAAAAATCAAACATCAAACTTGAACGGAATGAAAAAAAATAACCTAAAAAACTATAAATTAGAATTAAAAAAACAAACTCGAACCGAAACCGAACCGAATCTAATATAAAATCCAAATGAATAGATTTCTAAAATCGAATACGAATAAATCGAACCCTAGACGAAAACAGAAATACCAAGCCCTAAATCCCGAAAATTAAAAAGTCTAATTTGACTAAGATAGAGACATAGCAATATTATACTCATGATATTTAATGGGGTTGTTCATGTGTTTTAAAGGTGACTCTGTCGGGATTTCTGAACTTCGTGGACGGGCTGTGGTCGAGCTGCGGGGACGAGAGGATCATCATTTTCACGACGAACCACAAAGAACGGCTCGACCACGCCCTCCTCCGTCCTGGACGAATGGACGTCCATGTCCACATGTCCTATTGCACTCCGTGCGGTCTAAGGCTCCTCGTCCGGAACTACCTGGGCGTGTCTGAGTCCGACCACGACCGGCTCCTGGCCGAGGCCGAGGATCTGTTGCTTGCGGCGAAAGCAACCCCTGCCGAGGTGGCTGAGGAGCTGATGAAGAATGTGGCAGCCGACGTTGCGTTGGAGAGGTTGATCGAGTTTCTGAAGAGGAAGAAGAGTGATACCGAAAACGAAACAAAGACTAAAATAGAAGAATAGTAGTAATAAGTTTCTCACGAAGGAATCGACCAATAATACAGTTTAATGAATATAATCTACCAAGTCGAGTCATTGGAAAAACACCCAAATAAATGGACTCACGAATGTATCTGAATCATGGTATGGTCTTTAGATTCCTCCTTTGTTCAATGAGCGTTTTCTGGATAATGGGAATCATAAAGGTAGATTGGCCAAACCTTAGATTGGATTCTTTTCCCGGTTTTCTGGCCATTTTCATTTCTGGTGAGGATTAAAGCCCATGAGCTCGAAATCGGAAGCCTCAAAAGAATCGAGTTTCTTCTTCTGGGGATTGATTTTCAACATCTGTTTCACAGATACACCAATGAGACAGTTGAGCAAATAAAAAAAGAGCCGAGTTGTGTCATGAAAGGGACAGAACATAACAAACCAGTGAATGAATATTATTAACAAGTTACTGTACTGACCGGGAATGGTCTTGGGGAGCTATGAAGCTGTTCTTGTAAATCCTTGATCCGAGTTCTGCAAACATGGGCATCTCCAATCACATAGATGAAATCACCAGCTACGAGATCTGTCCACATGAATAATGCAAAGCTTTATCTCGGTTTTGATTATATACTTCAGCCAGAAGGTAAACTGTAAAGGAGGTTCCTTTGTCTGTTAGCTCAAGTGGAAACTACTTACCACAAATATGAGCGATGATACATGTCAAAAGAGCATAAGCAGCTATGCTGAAAGGAACTCCATGACCAATTTCGTCCGAGCTCTTGTACACCTGACATGATAGCTCCCCATTCGCAACGTAGAACTGCAAAAACAAGATCAAATCACAGATTTCTCCATTCTGTACAAAAATTCTGTTTCCCAACATCGTTTTCAAATGTTAGTTCACATTGAGTTTCTTCTCTCTTTTTTATTGGTATCTTCTTCCATTTTCTTGCCAGTGAAAATCCGGTCATCTTTCACAGGCCCTGGATTATGGTTCATGTTTTATACATCAGATTCATTTAAAATATTTATGGTGGGAATGCTACAAGTTCTAAGTTTTCAAAACAAGAACAAAACAAATAAAAGTGCTAACCTGTGCAAACATCTGGCAAGGAGGAATTGCTGTCGAGTTGAGAACTGTGGGATTCCAAAATGGAAGTACAATCCTCCGATCATCAGGATTCTTCATTATCTTGTCTATAACATCTGGGAGCTCATGGAATCCCTGGCCGTTATGATTTGCATCGGTATCAGTGAGCCTGTAGGTTATAGAAACTATCTGTCAAAGAAGCTAAAATCATGAATCATCATCAATTATATCACAATCCTAGCATCAGTCCAGTGGAGTTCACATGCTAGTTGTGATCAGTCTTCTATGGCAGTCAATCTTATTACAGAACGCAAGTGAGTCGGTCTCATCAACCAAAAATGTAAATACTGTCAATTCTGTACTCGATTAGGTAACATGCTAATCAGCAAAAACTCTTCGTTTGCATTCTTTCAACTGAAACTCACTGTGTCTTGGTTTCGTACAAAAATGATATGTTTTTGTTTTTTTTTTGAAAATTTTGATGCTTGCCTTTCAAGATGTTGTCTGGATCCACTGGTGTCTCCTACATGGATACACTCTTCCTGAAGGACCTGACAACACATAAGACATTATGAGATATGATATGTATTCCTAATAGGTCAATCTACACCAGATTACCAGCCAATGAATTTGTCTTGTATAATTCCGCATCGAGTAAGTGTAACATTGTTGGATGGCTTATAAGAATATTACAGGCAACCTGTATTAAAAAAGCTAGTTTTCCAGGATGATGCCATTGATTTGGATGAGATTTGTAATAGACCCATGCCAATCAGTATTAGAACTAAACCCAATGTGAAGGCCCAAGTTACTGATTCCTCTAGAAACAGGATTTGTGGAAGGAAGCAAATGTGACAAACACTAGAAAATGTTGACCTACAGAGCATACACTTTCATTTTGTTTTTAGTTTACCTTGCAATTGATTGAACCATTGATAAACCGTAGGACTTCCTCAACAACGCTTTGCCAAACTACACTCTGCAAGGGAACAGTAAATCATCATAATCAATTTCTACTATAAAATAAAACTGAGATTTTCTTCTTATTACATGAACGACCAATAAAACGAGGTGAACTGCCTGATAACAACAGATGCGGGGAAGGAGATTGGGTGGAAAAGAACCAATCTGGTTTAAGGTGCTTTTAAGGGTATGGAAAGGAGCAAGAGAAGACATGCCTTGGTCATTAGAAGCGGGAAAGTTTTGCGCAGATTGAACCGGATCTGCAGATGAATCAAAACGGAAAAAAAAATACTTACAGATTAACTGCAAGACGTGTAAACTATATAGGGTTAAATGACAAACAGATACTTATGACAGATCACCTGACGGCCAAATTTCGATAGAGTACCATTCCCCGTACTATCTTCCTTCATGTCCCCACTAGATATAATGTCTCGGACAAGATCTAAGTAATTAAACTCCTCATGCCTCTCGAAAACCATATTGGGCAAGAAAGAACACCGTTCTTTCTCAAAATCAACACCAGCATCCTTTATACGGACGTATGTATTGAAGCTATATCGAATTCCGTTTTCCAGAATAGGAAATGATGAGTACCAAGGCCTGTAGAGGGCAGTATCCACCCTTGGTGCAAATGCATCGCATGGAATGCTTATATCAATCTCGGTCAAGTGGACAGCGTCACAACTGGGTGCATTCATATAATGCCTGCATAGAGATCACAGTAACTATCAACAAAAAAAGATGAGATCTTGAATACCCAGTTGTTCTTCTGAGCCATATTTTGTGTTTGAGTTATATATTCTTTTACACCTTTAAATTCGTACTTCTATCATTCAACTTAGGGTCCTTAAACTCAAAAGTATTCCTTTAATAGAGATAAAAGATCACTTCAACCGAGATACAATCAATTATGTCTAGATCGAAACAAAAACCATAACTCTTTCAGCCTCAAGTTCTGAAGTGTTGAAATTTTTGTCAAAGGCGATTTTAGAAAAGGAAAAAAAATTCTCTGTACATCTAGAAACAGAAACTCCAAAAACAAGAGAATCGGAGGATGCAAACCTTAATAAATCGCCACCCCCAATGACAAAGACCTTCTCGATGGACAAACAAAACGGTGGTCTGGCCAAAAGTTCGAGAGCGGATTCCATGCTTCCGCATACCAGTACATTCTCGTCATTGGCAATGTCAAGATTGTTACACCTCGTCAAAACAATGTTAAGCCGACCAGGGAGGGGACGAATCTCGAGAGGAGTAGATTCCCACGATTTTCTTCCCATGATAGTTGCATTCTTCTTCCTAGGATCAGATGTCTTTGTGGTAACATCATGGAAAAATTTCGTATCTGTCGGTAGATCCCATGGCAATTTCATATCCATACCAAGACCCATGTCTCTCGTTGCTGCTATGACAACCTGATAACTTATCTTAGCAACTGAGGGTGAGCCTTTAGCATTGTTGTTTGCCACATTATCAGTAGCCATAAGCTGACACACAAACAGCCAACGGAAGTGAAAATATCAATCTTAAATACAGAAATCCTAAAAACATTAACTTACAAAGACACAACTGTAATGAAATAAGAATGTGTTAGGATCTTATGAGAAGACAGCAGAGATCCAAGAATGAAGGTTTATCAACAGGAAAATCAAGGATGATAAAGACTAAAAACGTAAATGTAAGAAACCAGGAAAATGAGATCTGTTTAAGAACCTGAGATTGATCAAATCTGGAGCTCAGGATGGATCAAGAAAGTCAACCCGGAGGGAGAAAAATGATTTCCCAAATAACTGAAAAGAAAAAGGAATATTAGAGGGAAGTTTCCACCAAAAAGCATTTGAATCATATGCAGTATTGTCTGATAAAGTGTATCATTACCAGACACTGTGTGAAGCTCTCATGCAGCAGAGTATGCTTCATATATTTAAATCTTAATCCATCCTAAAATGAAAAATCAAGAATATACTCAATCCTTCCAATTAGCTGTGCACGTTTTCTACGAGATAAGTAAAAAAAAATATTAAAGATCAAATCAATCTTACTTTTTTTAATGGTCAAGTAAGAGGGGTCCAGATGGATGATTCCTTCATAATGCAACTAGACTATCATACCCAGACAAAATTAAACAAATATTTATTCATGTGTACTTCCCAATTGTGCTGGGCGGTTCACCAACACATTTTCTACATTGTATAGTTTTTTAATGTCGTTTCACATGGCATGTTCCCATGGTATATAAAAAAATAGGAGATGGAGGTTTCTTTTTTCCACGACAAAAAGTGAAATCTTAATGTCAACAAAAATATCAACAAGAATGGGAAAATAAAAAAAGAAAGACCAAATGATCAAGGGTATTAGATCCAAAAATACATCATACAAACTGTTAAATAAAAATGAACTATTGCTCTGATTATCCTTAACCAATTAGAACATTCATTTGCGCGTGAATCAAAAGAATCACTAGGTATACTAATAACAGATATTCAGTTTGATGTGGGTATCCACAAGTACGATGAAAGGTTTGAAAATTTTGCTGCTCCAAGGTTTTAGATGGAAATTTCTGAAGGAAAAGAGCAAAGAGAGATTCTGAGTCAAGATGTGAGTTTCAGGCATTTGTAGAACTTACATCTGTAGGAGAAGAACGATGAAAAGGCCTCCCCTTCCCACCAGCTTCAGATCTCCAGGGTGAACATTCATGAATCATGGCATCAAGAAACCAATGAACCTTCTCTTTCCTACTGACCAAAACATTTCCAGTTACTACACTGACAGAACCAAGTTAGCTGTCGGGAGTAATGGTGGACTGGACACTAAAACCGCAAGTGTCAAGGCTTCTAGGGGAAATATGAATATTTTAGTAGGTGAATGCATAAAACTGTTCTGTACCTCAAGCACGAACATGTTCTGTCTTTACGGGGATCACTGCAATGTCGTTCTCGAATCGAAAATGTTATGTACCTCAAAGCAGACATTTTTTGGTTATCTTGCTGTACACGACTCCTTGAGGCGCTAAAAAGCAGATCCTCCAAGAGCTTTCCTGTTTCCCACCAGACAATGCACCGAGTCGATAAGAGCGTTTCGCCGAAACAAATCAAATTTCGTACCAATTGGGCATTTCTAGGCCTCTTTGGTCAGATAAATTCCCCCAAATTTGACTGAGTTTGGGTTAAATTCCACCGTGAGCTCCCGGAAACGTAGAACCAGAAATCTAATTTTGACTACCAGATATCATTGCAAAGACGATTTCGATAGATTAAGCATCACAGTTCAACGATTCCCCACTACAATACGCCCACCTTCGATCTGACTAATGAAAAAGATCCAATAGATTGAAATTTCTCACCTCGGATCGAGGCAGAAATGGTAGCTCGCAACATTACGCAGTTTGCTTCAAATCGCTCCAAAGATTGAACACGCATTCTCTATCCGTCTGCAGCGGATAATCCTAGTCTACAAATCGCCGGAGAGGACGGAGGAGATTCGCCTCCGCCATAGACGTTGTCACCGGCGAAAAAGAAAATTATAATCATCTAAGAACGATCGTCGAGACGGGGAAAAAGAAATGGTCGGCCCATTGGTTAAGGCCCAATTAACAATCCAATCCATAACCTAATTATCCTATTGATTTCCTTATCTCAATTAGTGGATGACCACTCACACACGCACACATATACATATATATATATATATAATATGTAATATTTGTCGTGTTTTAGATTGATAGATGTATTAGTTGTATGTTTAAGATTCCATATCACAGATGTATGATGAAGTCATAATGCGACATTTAAATGGTCGGTCCATATAATATTTAATTTATGCAATGATATTAGAGGAAACGAACATTTAAATGGTTCATCATTAATTTGTTATTTTTTTAAAAAAATATTATACCAGTTTCTTTTAAAAAAAAAAATTGGTGAACGGAAACGCATGTTGGTCTTAATTATATTGTCGGAAATAGAAAAGCTTTTTTAAGAAAAATTAAAATATGAAAAGAAACTTTTTTTTAAGAAAAAATCGTTTAATTTTAGGTCAGATTCGTTTCAAAATGTATATTTGTCATTACTGTGTTGACATATAGGTGTGGATTAGAAAAGATTAGTTTCTTAACAAAGCTCGCCTGAATCTAGACGAGAAAAAATCCCGACAACAACGGCTGTTCCTCTCCCCTCTCTCTCTCTCTCCATCTCTCTCGTAGATATCTCTCTCTGTCTTTGTTTGGGGGTTTAAGTTTTGGAGAGAGAGAGATACACGGGAGATATATACACCTCTCTTTCCCCCTTCTTAGGTTCTTCCCCTATAGGTAAAATCTAATCTTGCCTTCTTATCTTCTTCTTCCTCTCTCTCTCTCTCTCTCTCTCTCTCTCTCTCTCTCTCTCATTGTTTGAATGTCTCTCTAAATGCTTCAAGTTTTCGATTCTTTCGAACCCCCTTGATATTTTACCCCTTTCGGTTATTAGCCTCCCAGAAAACGTGGGTTTCTCTCTTCTCTGATTCATTCATTCTTGTTCAAGAATACCATGATGTCTGAATCTGTTTCTGGATATTTGCTCATTTCAGATACTCTTGCTTCCATTCTGTCGTCTGTTTGCTTTCTGAAATTTTCCTCAGATTCCAAACTTTTGGTTTCGAGATTCGTTAGATCATGTCACGCATGTATTGTGTTGACGAAACTGTTTGATCAAATGCTTTTCTTCAATTGATTGTCACCCAAGAAACAGCGATACTGTTTTCCTCGTATTGATCTTTGGTTCATCTGCCCTTTCATGTTCAGCAAAGTTCTGTGTTAAATCGATTCACCGACATTTACATGCGTGTTTCCCGACAGGCGAGCAGAATTTTAAACATGACGGACGTGATGACAGGACATCTCGATCGACATAACAAGCTAGGTAACGAGAAATCACATCTCTGGAGCATGTTCTTCCTCTTCCTCAAGGAGATAAATCTTTTCGCGAAGATTCTGATTTATGGGGTTTGTGTTTGGTGTTTCATTACAGAGTTTGAGTTGTCGGAAGATGACAAGAGGACAAAGCTTGGATCTCTGAAGAAGAAAGCCATCAATGCCTCGAACAAGTTCAAACCCTCTTTCACCAAGAAGGGCCGGAGAAACAGCCGAGTCACTTCTGTCTCCATCATCGAAGACGACATCGACGCTGAGGAATTGCAGGCTCTTGATGCTTTTCGCCAGTCTCTTATCTTGGACGAGCTTCTTCCCTCCAAACACGATGATCATCACACGATGCTTAGGTTCTTCTTCTTCTTTCCCATATCAGAATGATGTAATCTTTCCGACCAGAGAATGACCCATTATTTCATATGTTTGGTTAAATCTCAGGTTCTTGAGGGCAAGGAAGTTCGATATGGAGAAGGCGAAGCAAATGTGGTCCGATATGCTTAACTGGAGGAAAGAATTCGGAGCAGACACCATCATGGAGGTCAGGAAAACAAGACATCTTCTGACATACACACACCCACACATATCATCTTTTCCCCATTTGGGTTATGTCTGAAACTCTCCATCTTCCATTTCTGTAAGGAATTTGAGTTCAAGGAAATAGACGAAGTCCTGAAATACTACCCACAAGGCTACCATGGCGTCGACAAGGACGGAAGGCCAGTTTACATCGAGAGACTCGGCCAAGTCGACGCCACAAAGCTGATGCAAGTGACCACGATCGACAGGTACGTGAAATACCATGTGCGGGAATTCGAGAAGACATTCAACATCAAGTTCCCCGCTTGCTCCATCGCTGCCAAGAAACACATCGATCAGAGCACAACCATCTTGGACGTTCAAGGAGTCGTACGTATCGAAATACCGAATCACAAATATTTCCACGTGTTTATTTATGAAAATGACGATGCTGGAAAGAGATATATAGATCATGTCGCCCGGACAGAAGTGCCATTTGATGTTCTATTGGCTTTGCGTTTGTGTGTTTTTCAGGGGCTTAAGAACTTCAGTAAGGCGGCAAGGGATCTCCTTCAACGTATTCAGAAGATCGACAGTGACAACTACCCTGAGGTATAAATAATACACATTTTAATCGAAACTATATGATAACACATTTTGATTTACATATATATATATATATTGGTAAGTTACATATATATATATATATATTGCATACATAGATTGATAATGGAGTCTTTGTGTTCATTTGTATGTATAGACACTGAACCGGATGTTCATAATCAATGCTGGTCATGGGTTCAGACTACTGTGGAGCACCGTCAAATCTTTCCTCGACCCCAAGACCACAGCCAAAATTCATGTAACAAAAGATCCAAACTTTATAATACACAGCTTTTTCGCCATATCAGTTTCTCGAAATATATTGTAAGTAGAGAATTCTTTATGCTTTTGGTGGTAAATCAGGTTCTTGGCAACAAGTACCAGAGCAAACTTCTTGAAATCATCGATGCCAAGTAACAGTTTCATAAACTTAGAAAATCTTGATCTTTCGCTTGGGCATATATAGGACTAATTCTCAGACAGAACCCTAAAACTCGAAACTCCGAACCTGTTTTTTTTTCCTCCTTTTTTGTCATAAAGTGAACTGCCGGAGTTCTTGGGTGGTAGCTGCACCTGCGCAGACAATGGCGGTTGTATGCGTTCAGACAAGGGTCCATGGAACGACCCCGAGATTTTCAAGGTAACAACACTTCGGATATAGAATCAAACTTCATATATAAACCCTAATCGTTTCCATTACCCAAATCTCTCCCTTGCAAAAACTATGAAACATATATAGCTACAAGAGTCTTGTCGTGGATTTAACTGATACAAGACGGGTTTATTACATCAGTGGATTGAAATGTGAAACTGGGTTGGAATATGTATACAGATGGTTCAGAACGGGGAAGGCAAGTGCACGAGGAAAATCTTGTCAGACATCGAGGAGAAAACAGTCTCAGAGTACGAAATGACGGAATCAAAGGTAGAAATCTTTAATTCTCAAGCTTTTCTTCACGTTCTCGGCACTAATCTTTTTGGTAAAGCCACTCGAAGGGATACGAATCTTTCGATGCAGACGCAGCTGCAAGTTTATTTCATCATTTTTTGTATCTTTTGAATGAATAAAGTTATGATCGAAATCAAAAACCACAGGTTAAGAAGAACAAATTCGCTGACCTGAATGAGAGGTTCATCCCAATGGTGGAAAAGACTATGGATGTTACCTGGCCGACAAGTCTCCACCACAAGGACCCTGCAGGTCCGTATGAATCTCCCCCCGGTACAACCTTAACCGAACCAAACCGGATACAGTTAACCGATATTGGTTGGTGATGCAGATTGTTACACGATGAAGCCGTCGGAGAAGAGGGGAGGGGAAGGGTACCTGTTCGGAGGGGTGATGACGCTGGTGATGGGAATAGTGGCGGTGATGAGGCTGACAAAGAACATGCCGAGGAAGCTGACGGAGGCGACCACGTACGGAGGGAAGGTGGAGGTGTCGAGCGAGGATTACATGAAGATGGTGAAGAGGATGGCTGAGCTGGAGGGCAAGTGCAAGTTCTTGGATTCTCAGCCTGTTTTCTCCCCGGAGAAGGAGCAGCTGCTCAACTCCGCTCTCAGCCGCGTCGACGACCTCGAGCTCCAGTTGTCCGAAACCAAGAAGGTGCTCTCTCTCTCTCTCTCTGTTTGTGTGTGTATATATATAGAGAGAGAATCTTATGTATGGTTGAATGCATGTGAATTCGGTTATATGGTGTTATGCTTACGCCTGCTTTCTTGTGTTTTCTTGACGGAAAAGGCACTGGACGAGGCGCTGTCAAGGCAACAGGAGATACTCGCCTACATCGAGAAGAAGAAGAAAAAGAAGAAGGTAATGTATACATACACACCTACATACATATATGCATTTGCAAACTACACCGTACAATCTTCACTCCTTCGAAACTTTCTTAATCTTTTCTCTTTGCTGTCTCTTGTTTCTTCTGAGAAAGACCCCAAGAAAAAAGATTATATATTCTTCCTGTTCCTGTTTACTTGGCTAAATTTTACTTTTTAGTACTTTTTTCAATTCGATTGTTATTATTATTATTATTATTTTTTTTTTTGCAGTTCTTCTTCGTGTTCTGAAAGACTTGCAGAGCTATTATGGCAGGAGCAAGTTCAAGATCGGGCTTAACATCTTGAGGCTCGTTTGTGTGCCACCCAGACACTTTTTTCTCCTTTTGTTCTTTCGTAAATATATGTGTACTCTGGTACCTAAAGCTTCATTTCCCATTCAATGTTTTGTCTCTAACACCTACTTGTAAGACACCGGGGGATATTCATCAACGAGGACCAGAAAAAAAAATATGTAAAATATTAAATTATATGTTATATATATATATATATAATTACATCATAATAATAACTTTTGCAAAAAGTTCGGATTGTTTTATGGATATCTTCTCCACGTGGCTCACCATCATAAACAATTAAACAGGAAAAGATAGCTCTTTGAATTAGCAGAAACATTTTGATTCTTTACATCAGTTACGAAACGAAGATCCCCCAAAGGTGAAATTTCTGCTGTCTTTTTACCAGCAGAAGAGATGCTTCGTCTTCTTCTTCTTCTTCTGGTGACAAAGACAAGAGATGAAAATGAGTCGAAGATTTTGAAATTAGGGTTTTTTTTTTCTTTTTCTTTTGGTTGGGCGTGGAGAAAATAGGACAGACCTGGTATTCTGCTTCTTCTTGGCGGTCAATGTAGGCGAGCAGCTCTTCTTGCCTCATCAGAGCTTCATAAAGCGCCTGCTCAATCAATGTCCAGACAAAACACCCATTCAGTTTTGTTCAGACCTTGAAAAAAGTATTCAAATTTACTTATTTTTTTCAATAAGAAAAGTTTGAAACTTCAGCGAATACCATAATCGAATACTTAGTACTGAGGGTCGTCGTTCATAAGATAAATTACCTTCTTTGTGGATATCAGCTCAGCTTCAAGGGCGTCCACGCGGCAGACAGCTGCGTTCAGAAGTTCCTCTTTCTCGCAAGGCATCTCAGATGGCTTTGATTGGAGAGTGCCGATCTTCTCCTCGAGCTCGTTTAGCTTGTTCAGTACAGAAGAGAGGAGATCAGATTCAGTGAACGGCGGAGCAGGAGAAGGCGGGCGGAATTCCTCCTGGATTCCACCATTGGAGGTGAGCTCCGTACCGGTCCCTTGGTTTTGTGATCCGTTAGCTGGGGTAGGAAGCCTCTTGGTCACACGGCACGACATTGTGCGGAAGAACGTTACAACGGCCATAACAATTGCCATGAACATTATCAGAACCTTAGCACGATCTCTCTCGGGAGCCTTCGGGGTGTTGGGTGCCATCAATGCTCCTGCATATAAGAGACCCGAGTTTCAATCTCCTTTTTCGATTGCTTGATACGAAAACTGGGTATAATGTATTTGTTAAAAAAAAAAGTTTACCTTTTGAGGGGACTCTCTGGATTGTGGGTTTGAGGTTCCAGCTCGCATCAACAGCTTTGTCAACCATGGGGACATACTCATCGTATCCTGGAAAGCTACAAGCCAAGCTTGTCTCGCCAACAATCTTCGCCTGCAAAGTCCCAGATAATATTAGAACAGTTTGATAAACTTCATGCAAGTTTCGAAGAAGCAATGGCAGCAGAATTTGGTTTGAAAAACCATATTATTCTGTTACATATTATTACGGGACCAAGAACTAGATAGTAGAGAAATCGCACTACCTCTTCGCGGACAGGGGTCAAACGGAGATGAGGATAACTATTCACGGCCTTTGGAGATCCAATATCTTCAGCTTCAGAACCTGACTCGGCAGTGGATGTGTCACTTCCCTTGATCTGTTTTAGATGTTGTTAAAGTTTAGGTATGATATGCTCGGCTAAGCTACAAGTTAACATGATTAATTAATCCTATGAATTAACAATTGCATACCCATGGATAAGATGGCTTTGCATAAGCAATGACTTTCCCCTCGCTGTTCAAAACTTTCACGACCTGCTTGGCACGATGTGCTCCCCCATGAAGAACCATCTGCAACAACATGAGCAAAGATCAGTTGTTTTTTTCCGCAAGATTGTTAAAAAAAAGCATAGGTGTGAAGAGATGAGGCCAGGAAGTTTACCTTCAAAATTTCTGGATTCTTCCAAGGACCCTTGTCAGAAAGCATGCAGCCACCTTGATCTGCACAAGTACATGAACCTCCCAAGAATTCCGGCAACTCACTATAAAAGGTGAAGATACATTAGAATGAGCAAAAACTAGAGGGAAAAAAGGAGTAAGAAAAAAAAATAATACACCAAAGCTCGGCTTCACACACCTGGAATCAATGATCTCAAGTAATTTGCTCTGGTACTTGTTACTGAGGACCTAAATTTAAAAAAAAAAACGAAACAGCGGAAAATTATATTCTGGGAGTTGTCCAGTTAAGGCAAGCCTTTTAGAATAAAGCTCCAAAAATAAAATTTATTTTCATACATGAATTTTGGAAGTTGTTTTGGGGTCTAGAAAGCTCTTTACAGTGCCCCAGAGCAGCCGAAATCCGGGCCCTGCATTGATGATAAACATTTGGTGGAGGGTCTACATGAATTAACCAAAAACTGAGATTAGAATATGATTCAGAATAATTCCTTTCCCCATCTCCAGAACAAACACTACAATAACAGTTTTCTTTTGTTAGCTGCAATTGGGAAACTACCTCAGGATAATTGTCTCCATCAACCTTCTGCAACCGTGTAATAAGTTCCCGAGCAGATTTGGTAAAGTTCTTCAGACCCTGCAAATAAATTACAAGGAAAGCAAAAGATAACTCAGCATTTTGTCACACCTTGGATAATAATGCAAGCAACTTTTAGAAATGAAAGGAAATTACCACTCCCTGAACATCCAAAATAGTTGTGCTTGAATCAATATGCCTCTTTGCAGCAATTGTGCAAGAGGGAAACTTGATCATAAAGCTCCTCTCAAACTCCTTTACATGATATTTTACGTATCGATCCATAGTTGTAACTTGCATAAGTTTGTTCGGATCAACTTTCCCCAGCCTTTCAATGTACACAGGCCTTCCTTCCTTATCAACACCATGATAACCATGTGGGTAATATTTCAGCACTTCGTTAACCTCTTCAAACTCAAAATCCTGTCAAGATCAAAATGGTAGAATAAGTAGAGTTGCTTCACTGATTGGAAGCAGAGGTCAACCATCTTCAGTAAGATACAGGTACCTGAATAATAGTGTCAGTGCCAAATTCCTTCCTCCATTGAAGCATATCAGCCCACATGTGCTTTGCTTTTTCAATGTCAAACTTCCTCGCTTTAAGGAACCTAAATGAGAGTAACATATAGAGAGAATCAGTTGCCAACATCATGTTTAGAGTGGATTAAATCAAGCAAAGACTGGATTCTGAAACATGAAAAGAACCAAAGACATGCATGACAAGACAACAAGGTTGAGACCGATCAACCTCAACATCATGTGATAGTCATCGTGTCTCTCGGGAAGCAATTCTTCCATTATCAATGCTTGTCGAAAAGCGTCAACAGCCTGCAGTTCTTCAACATCCCGCACGTCCTCGATGGAAACAGAGCTGACTCGGCCGTCGCTTTTTCTTCTCCCACTCTTTTTCTTGAGAGAATGCTTGAACTTTGTCGATGCATTGATCGCTTTCTTTTTCAGAGAACCGATTCTTGTTCTCCTCTCATCCTCGGAATTCTCAAAGTCGGATTTTCTCTCCTTTTTCTCATCGCTGCTCAAGAGTCCCTCAAAACCTGTTGATAAGAAATAGTTAAAATCTTCGCCAAACACAAAGGCAAAGTATCCAACAATTGGCGAAAACTCAGAATCATTTTAATGCATTACGATTCAGTGAAATAAGACAAATTGATGTCAAATAGGCAGATTCCAGACTGATTATGCATCTAAAACAACAGCTTTCAAGAAGTGACATTTCCACGGAGCAACTACCTAATCTGTTCAAAATCCATCCGAAAGTAGTACCTAAATTCTCAAATTTCAGCCTAAAACCATTTCCGAGCAGCTCAGAACACTGATCAAACACTGGGAAAAGCGCAAACTTTCTCTCTTTACCAGCTCAAGTCTCACGCCAAAACTGAAACCCTAGAATCGGACCAACCAGAAAGATACACACAAAAAAAAATTACACAGAAAGAATTGGAGCAGAAAAAGTAGATCGGATTCCTTACATGGCCTTGCAAACCGATCAAGCGGACCCGACATCTCAGATTCCTTCGCCTGAATCCACAGAAGCAGAATTTTACCTCTCCTCTAAATATTTATCTCGCTCGCCTCAAATCTTTGAGAAGATGGCTGATCCACGGATCAATGCACCAGCAAGAATCCCCAATTTTTGCGAATCCGACTGCTCACATCATCAGGAAGGCCCCGGAAAAAACGCAAAAATCAAAATGGGGAAAAAAATTAAAAGGTTTCAGAAGCAAAAGCCGAGTAAAATACGGAGCGAACTAAGGACTTTCCTGGTTTCTTCACCTAAATGTCCTTTTATTTTAATATTTTGTTTTTGCTTTTACGGTCAACATTTAGGTAATTATTCAGTACTGACCCTACTAGTTTATTTGATTTCTATTGTGACCCCGACAGTAATTGTATCTTTGTATATATCATAATTCCTCCCGATATAGCATGCATCTATAGATTACATCATGCAATTATTTTAGGTTCAAGTCTAATTTTTTTATAATAAAATTGAGAAATGAATTTTGATATAATTATTTGATTTCAATATTTAAAAAAATGAATAACATAACATTTATTAATAATTTATATAATATTTCCAATATTTAAAATTTTAAATTTGAAAATTTTATATTGTATCAAACTTTGATAGTTTAATTGCATTTTTATTCTATATTCAATATTAAACTAATTTTTTTTGTAAAAATTTTAAACTAAAATTTTATCAAGTATAACTACACAAACCATTAAAAATATGTATTTCTACTATATATATAGATAATGTAAATCATGTTAATGATTATCTGATTTTTTTGTAAAATGCATATTTTGAATTGTAATTTAGAATTATAAATTGTTTTTATTTTAGCCTCGTTTTAAGTTGAAAATTTATCCAAATACTTATCAAGGAATAAACGTGTGAAAACCAATATAAATAAGAGGCTAATAGAAATAGGCCTGGATGAAAGAAACCATGGTTGTGTAATTGGTAGGATGTGAGGCGCACAAATCTCTAAAAGAAAATATATGGCTCGAAGAGAAATAAAGATAAGAAACTGGGGCATATATGAAATTAACATAAAAACAATATGAAATGTGCAATATCCATACTTTTGACACCAACCGAGGAAGATCCGACGGTCATTAATGACCGTAGGTAGAATTTTTAACGGATCTACGAGCGGTAGCCCTGTAACGTCAGTGACGCAGAAAATATATAAGAAATGAAACAGAATATTAAAAAGGAGTGAGAAAATTCGCCGACAGAAACGACGGCGCGAAAGCAAATGATGGCGAGAGAGAACTTTTGTTCTTTCTCGAAGTCATCCCTATACTTTTATTACGTTTAGAATGATGCCCCATTCTTTGTTTTTTTATTACGATTAATCTGCGTATCGGAATTATTTGGGTGATAATATTTATTTTGCAACCAGTATTTTTATTTATTTCACTAGTTCGTTAAATTAATTTCAACTGGTTTTAAATCGGCCATTAGAAATATATTTCAATAGATATGAATAAATATAATAGGATGTAGTTAGAAAATTGATCATATTCAAATTATAATAAATATGGATTTGAAAGCTTTCATTTTTCCTATATTAAGACATTAAATTTAATGATTATTTTGAAATAAAAATTTATTCTCCAATTATTTAAATTCTAAAAAAAGGAAAATATATAATAGAATATTTTGAAACATAAAAAATATTATATTAAATGTAGGTAATTTTTAGAATGGGCATTTAAGTTAATTATTCCTATTGACTCTTTTTTATGTTGAAAATCGTTATATACTTGTAGGTAATTACCATACATAACTATTTTCAACGTCTAGCGAGGGTTGAATAGTACTTTTAAGATGTTATAGGCTAGATGTTAATTTCTCGATCTTGTTGGGGTAACGATGATAGTTCTGAGGGCCCAAGTGGGGGCCAGGAACACGTGGCGAACGCAGAGGTGGATGACAGGATAAAAGCAAAAAGTCGTCATAAATACGGAGCGATTAAAGGGCGAGTCAAAGGTTCTTGTTGGGCCTTGCGATTGTCGGCGGAAATATTTCATATATAATTATAGGTTTATTAAATGCCAAAACTATATTATAAAAATGTCAAAGGACATATGCTATTGTTTTTGTGACAACCGATATTGACTTTGGAGTTTGGGCATAATCATGAATGGGCATGGCTTCTTTTTTTTTTTTTTTGATAAACTCCCTTCGGTTATATATAAAATTAAATGTTGCAATGATGATGATTAGTCAATGTAACAATTGGACTTTTTTTTCATCAATCATGGACATTGTACGTTGTCCTAATCATAAATACTAACGATTGTGATATTTTTATTCCCAGGAATAACAGTACACATACATACGTATACATATACATATATACACATACACACTTATAGCATACATATACACACAATATCATATGAATATTTATACACATACACACGCCCGCATGGCCGCATGCAAACCCATTCATATTAATTCGATCTCAGACAAAACACCGTCCAAGGGAGCGCTACGATACAAAGAGAGCCGTAAAAGATGATGAGAAGATTTCATTCAATTCGGTGTGTGTGTGTCGAGTCAATACGTGTCTTTCCTCAACGTGCATGGCAAAAGTTTGATGCCACGTGTATAACCATGCAGGGCACCACCAGGGCTCGAGTTTCATCTTTTATACATTATCCCATAATCGGCTAAGATACATCGGGGAAAAAAAACACGATGGCGGATCTGAGAGACGAACAGGGGAATCCGATACGGCTGACGGACGAACACGGGAACCCGGTTCAACTGTCGGACGAGTTCGGTAACCCCATGCACCTCACCGGCGTCGCCACCTCCACCGTCCCGCCTCCTTCCGTCACTGAGCCGCCACCATGTGTCCATGAGCCCGCCGGAGAACAGCTTCCCCAATCTCGCAGTTCATCCACCTCTAGCTCTGTGAGATAACTATATATATATATATATATATTTAGTTTGCGTTAGTTGGTTGTGTATATATATACATGGCACGTGATGTCTTCACGTCCCACGCAAAGATATGTATGCATACATGCATCCTATATATATAGTTACATTACTTGTTGAAAGATGTAACGACGAACAACCTGTAATCCATTTGTTTATATTTTTAGTGTTGAGATATATGAAAAATATTATGAGATATATGATATCATAAAGATCTTCTCATTTTCATTTTCTCTCTATGCTAATTCAAACATACAGCAACAAACATAAGAAATCTCATATATTCTTCATTTAGAATTTCACAAGTATTCATGGCTTCATTAATCAAATCTCAATAATAGATCTTTTGCGAATTTATTCTCTTTGGCCCTGTAATCAGCTTGATAGGCGCCAAAGCGTGCATATTGTATATTGGTTCATGCAAATAGGAATCAACTATTTTCTACATGGATTTCCTTTTTGAAGTATTGTGAAGTTGATTTATCGTTTTATATATACATGTTTTGAAGTCTGGTTAATTTGCTTGAACATATATATGTATATATATGTGTGTATAGTCGTCATCGGAGGATGATGGACAAGGAGGGAGGAGAAAGAAAAAGGGTCTGAAGGAGAAAATCAAAGAGAAACTTGGCGGTGGCAAGCACAAGGAAGAACATGCCGAGGTGTCGGCCGCGACCACAACGACCACGACCACGACGACGTCTACAGTGTCGGCCCACGAGAAGAAGGGACTCTTGGAGAAGATAAAGGAAAAACTCCCTGGCCACCATAGCAACCCTTAATCAGATCACATGTAGAAATCAAGATTTTCGTTTTACATAGCATTACCTACTCTCACTAGTTGTTTTCCGGTGGTGAATAAAATCGTGTTTACATGTAAAGGGTCGAGGTTGTATGTTAGTGAAGTTTGGGGTTGTTTTGTTAATTTCCTACGAACCTTTGGTCCAATTTGTAAATTTGGAATTCTGGGTTTAATCCGTCCGTACGGTCTATGGATGTGTTGGAAATTTGTTATACTGTTTATTTAATTGTACTCTGGATATTCGTTTCCGTTATATTCGAAACTAAACCGTTCGGTGAATATGTGATATTACGGTTTCGATTATCGGTTCGATTTATATCCAAGCGAATCGGATTAAGCCGATCCAAACGATTCAGATTACAGAGCACCTCTCTCTCTCTCTCTCTCTCTCTCTCTCTCTCTCTCTCTCTCTCTCCCCCCCTCCTTCGGTCTACATCCGCCGCTTTGCCGGCGTTTTCGCCGGTATCGTGGTCCTTTATCTCTCTTATCCGGCGGGAATGAGTGATGTTGCCCTCTCATCTTCCTCTGCGAGCTTTAGCCGTGGCTGGATCCCCTTGTTGATGGTTCCGAAGTCCAAATGTCCTGTCATAATCGACGCCGCCGGTGAAGTGTTAACAGGCAGTATTTCCGGAAGAAATTCACCATCATCGACAAAGATAATGAGTGAGTGTTGATTTTGTTCGCTGTTTTGCGTAGTATGGACTTGGGGAATTGGGGCATCAGCTTATACGCGTGAGCATTTAGGTTAGGACGAGAGTGACATGATTGCTAGGTGAAAGATCAATTGCCAATTTAGGTGATTTAGTTATTATTTCCGAGCAAACACCTTGGATTCTGTATACAGGCTTTAACATAGTGGTTGCAGGAGATGCAAAGACTCACCGGCAAGCTTTGGAATCACTGTAACGGAGGTGAGAAGTCTCTTTTGATCCAAATACCGACCGATCAGGTGCGTTGTTTCAGCTATATTACATTGCTCGTCTTCTTGTCTTAAATTGGAAACATGTGAACATTATAAATGGCTGCCTTCAGAAAGATCATTGGGAAAACACTGTTTTATAATCTTGCCTGTTCAGTAGAAAACATTAACATGTGGATGTTGCTTGGTGCATCAATTATGTCAGAATCTCCTTGATTGTGAAGTCATGATACTGGTCAGAGACAGAGTTCCAGTCCTAGTTCTTCATTTTCTTGAAATAGGGAACTAGAATCTGGTTATTGTGGTTCTATGCCAGAATTGTCAAATAGCCCATTTTAGCAATTTGCTAAAAATAAACAATTGAATCTCATCAATTGTTCATATCCACCACCGATGAAAGTTTAACTCCAACAGAACCAAACATAACAAGACAACCAGCCACACACATAACAACTAATCCTTTCTTTCATGACCCTTTTTTTTCTTCCCTCTTTTTCTTCAACCACAAGAAATTCAACCGACTCCCCCTCGTTTCTTCTTATCCTTATCCCTGTTTCTTTCTCTATTCTCTCTCTCCCCCAATCCAAGGAGGGATGGAGATAGGAAAGAAACCAAACATACCCGTAAAACTCCTTCCATCTTCTTCTTTCTGGCCTTTCATGACTCTTCTCCTGGCTTTCCTCCTCTTTCTCTCAGGGACCACCTCTGCTTTTGCGGCTGGTGATCATCACAATGCGTTTAAGCCGACTGATCAGATTCTCATTGACTGTGGGTCGAAGTCATCATCGGCCAAAACCCCTGATGGAAGAGTCTTCAAGAGTGACCAAGAAATGGTTCAATACATTGAAGCCAAGGAAGATATTCAGGTCTCAACTCCGCCCTCAGATAACGTCTCATCTCCTATCTACCTAACGGCTAGGATCTTCCTCGAAGGAGCCACTTACAAGTTCCATTTGGCCCATGCAGGTTGGCATTGGGTCCGCCTCCATTTCTCTCCCTTCCCTAATGACAAGTTCGATCTCCAACAAGCAACTTTCTCTGTCTTGACGGAGAAATATGTCTTGCTCCATAACTTCAAGTTCAGCAACAACAACAATAGCCAAGCTTTTCTTCAGAAGGAGTACCTCCTCAACATCACGGATCCTCTCTTCTCTCTAAGGTTCAATCCCATGAAGGATTCTGCCGCTTTCATCAACGCTATCGAAATCGTCTCTGCTCCTGATGAACTGATTTCAGATTCAGGCACCTCCCTTTTCCCGGTTATCGGTTTCAAGGGTCTGTCCGATTATGCTTACCAGTCAGTTTACAGGATTAACGTTGGGGGTCCCTTGATCACTCCTAAAAACGATACGTTAGGAAGAACATGGACAACCGACAAGGAGTACTTGCAAGACCAGAACCTGGCCAAGGACGTTAAGACAACCACCTCGGCGATCAAATACCCCGAGGGATTAACCCCTTTGATTGCACCACAGACGGTTTACGCAACAGCTGCCGAGATGGCCGATTCTCATACCATAAACCCTAACTTCAACGTTACATGGAACTTCCCTTCCAACCCATCGTTTAACTACCTCGTCCGACTGCATTTCTGCGATATCGTCAGCAAGTCAATGAATGACCTGTACTTCAACGTGTACGTCAACGGGAAAACAGCCATTTCGGGGTTGGATCTGTCCTCTGTCACGGGCGATCTTGGGACTCCTTACTACAAGGATATCATTGTGAACTCAACTCTGATGAGCCCTCAGCTCCAAGTCCAAATCGGTCCCATGGGAGAGGATACAGGGTCAAGAAATGCGATCCTGAATGGGGTCGAGGTCTTGAAGATGAGCAATTTAGTCAACAGCCTTGATGGCGAGTTCGGAGTTGACGGTAGAACCATCGGAATGGGGAAGCATGGCATGGTTGCGACTGCTGGGTTCGTGATGATGTTCGGAGCTTTCATTGGCCTCGGAGCTATGGTCTACAGGTGGAAGAAAAGGCCTCAAGATTGGCAGAAGAGGAATAGCTTCTCTTCTTGGCTCTTACCCATACATGCGGGTGACAGTACCTTCATGACAAGCAAGGCTGGTGGCTCTCAGAAATCCAGCTTCTACAACTCGACTCTCGGTCTTGGCCGCTATTTCTCCCTCGCAGAGCTTCAAGAAGCGACAAAAAACTTCGACGCTTCCCAAATCATTGGGGTTGGTGGATTCGGGAATGTCTATATTGGAACCATTGACGATGGAACCAAGGTGGCCGTGAAGCGAGGAAACCCGCAGTCGGAGCAAGGTATAACCGAGTTTCAGACAGAGATTCAGATGCTGTCCAAGCTTAGACATAGGCACTTAGTCTCCTTGATCGGGTATTGCGACGAGAACACGGAGATGATTCTTGTCTACGAGTACATGTCCAACGGTCCGTTCAGAGACCACATTTACGGGAAAAACCTGCCTCCTCTCTCTTGGAAACAACGTCTCGAAATCTGTATAGGAGCCGCGCGTGGCCTGCACTACCTCCACACAGGGACGGCCCAGGGGATCATCCACCGTGATGTCAAGACTACCAATATCCTCCTCGACGATGCATTTGTGGCCAAAGTCGCGGACTTTGGGTTATCCAAAGATGTGGCCTTCGGACAAAACCACGTCAGCACGGCCGTGAAAGGGAGTTTCGGGTACTTAGACCCAGAATACTTTAGGAGACAGCAGCTCACTGACAAATCTGACGTGTATTCTTTCGGTGTTGTCCTGTTGGAAGCTCTCTGTGCAAGACCGGCCATTAACCCGCAGTTGCCGAGGGAACAAGTTAATTTAGCCGAGTGGGCGATGCAGTGGAAACGAAAAGGGCTGCTCGAGAAGGTTATCGACCCTCATCTGGCTGGAACGGTGAATCCCGAGTCGATGAAGAAGTTCGCAGAGGCTGCGGAAAAGTGTTTGGCCGACTATGGAGTTGATAGGCCGACAATGGGAGACGTGCTTTGGAACTTGGAATACGCTCTTCAGCTTCAGGAAGCGTTCTCGCAGGGCAAGGCTGAGGAGAATGAGAATGAAAAGTCCGTGGCTGCAGGCCCTGGTCCTGAGCCAGCGGCTCCACCGTCTGCCGTGGTGGCTCCGAGCACTCCCTTGGCGGTCAGTGACCGTCCAGTTTCTCTGCCGGATGAGAACGGTGGTCCGGCGGAGGTTCAGGCCATGGATGAACACTCAGGAACGGCCGTGTTTACTCAGTTTGCTAACTTGAATGGAAGATAAACAGAAAGGAAGAAACTAAAAATGAATTCTTGAAGTGGATCTAAAATGCATTTGTTTCGAGGGGGAGAGATAGAATATGAATTTTAAGATATTTGTTGTCATTGTAATTTTTTTAATATATTTTTTTCTGTCTGACTATGTATTATCATGTAATTTTTGTGGGTGGAGTGGATATGTATGTATGTATATTGCTAAGGCTGATGCATCTATCTACTCACGCTCTCTTTCATTCAGTTTTCTTTTGGGTTACAAGTTCACACGGAAATTATCTGTGATTCTTCGGAACGTTAAATAAAAACTTAGAAATATTAAATATGATGACGAGTGATAAAAATTCCATATTTTATTAAATTAAAATGTGGCCAAATTGTATGAAAAAGAGAATGGCCATTTCTATGTTCGGTTCAACAATTACAGTTAGTGAAAACGTTAATACAACCTGTGGAGTTTTCTGTCCTAACATTATACCAAATAGAGAGTTTCCCCCAAAACGAATCTCCGACAAAAAAAAAATAAAAATCCTACAATGTTAGATTCTGTCCTATCCAACCTTCTTCTTCTTGCTAACAACTATGTCTGGATCCTCCAACACGACAATGTCTTCATCATCAATGCCCACTTTAACTCTGACGTTTTCGTCCGGTTTCGTCTCATTCCCGGTTTCCTCTGAGAGTTTTCTTTTCTTACCAGTGGCAATCTTGGGTTCGGATCCTGCGGAAATTTCTGGAACCTCGAGGGAGTTTCCAGAATCTCGAGGCCTTGCTGAACTGTCGTCACCAGTGTTGAATTCTAGAGAGAATTCAGAAATGGAAAAGAGATTTGAGAATAATTTCTGTATTGATTAATATGAAATGATCCATACAAAATGTATTTATACTAATCCTAACAACATACTCTAATACGCCCCCACAAGATGAAAGTGATTAACTTTCATCTTGGACAAATACAAAACGAAAACGAAACATTACAACCATGAATACCACAATCAAACCGAAAACTATATCAATGACAAATCGATCCTCGAACAAAGTCTCCACGACATGAAACGAAGTCTGCATGACTCGTATAGAGCCTCCACGGCACGAAACAAAACCTCTACGGCTCGAAGAAAACCTCGACGACATGAATTGAACCTCCACGGTTCGAAAAACGCCTCAACGGCATAAAATGAGCACCACGGCTCGAAAAAACACCTCCACGGCATGAGATGAGCCTACACGGCTCGACGAACGCCTTCACGGCATGAAATGAGTCTCCACGACTCGAGACAAAAACACGACCATCAAAGTCGAAAAACAAATGACGCAGCAAACCGAATCAGAAACCAAATCATATCTGATCAGTAAAACACCGGACAAAACCGGAGAACATGTCAGATGAAACAACCACAAAGAAAACCAAATCACACCAATCCAGTGGAGAAATCAAATGGTTGCAACAAGGCTGAAACCAGAAACAGTGTAACAAGACGAAGCTGGAGAAATTAAAGCATATCTGGAGACTATAATCTTCAATGAGATTAAGTCAACTAGCAGCGATCGGAAGTGTCACATGGTGCATGACACAAAGAATAGAACCATATCCATGGCTGATCGGAGATCAAGAGTTAGCTGAACCAATCCAAAGTGACGGATGAAGACGAGACAATTACGACACCGTAAGATCTAGCGAAAACGGCTGAGCATGCGAGAGATTCACAAACTGAATCACTGTCCAAAACGACGAAGTGTGAAAGTCAATCGAGAAGATCCAATGACCTCGCAGAGAGAGAAAGCAACCAAATCTGAGAAGACATCAGCAAAAGAGACGAAATCTGAGACGATCTTGCCGAATTCAGTGATGGAACTCAGAGAAACATGGAAGAATGTTCAGATGGTACAGTTCTGCGAATCAGAGATAACAATCAGCTAACCACCAACTCGAACAGACAGATTTGAGAAGACCGATACAATTTGCTTCGACGACAGAGGAGATGATTGCGGAGACTGCCAGCAAGTGTAGATCTCAGAAATCTCCAGTAGATTTGGACAGCAACATCATTTCGAACAACTCGGAGAACGACGAAGAACACGAACGGCGAATCATCAATCTGAAAACTCGAACAGATAGGATCCAGAAGCTGGTGACACTTACGGAGAAGAAATCGGAGGTCGAACAGAAAACGATTGAGTAGACTTGGCTTCGATGACAGAGAAACCTAGTGGATCGGAGGATTTGCCGGCGAATTTCGCCGAAGGTAAATCAATCGTGCAGGAAACAAAAAATTTGCAATGGAAGAAGATGATGTTGAACTTGAATAAGAGAGAATCAAATTTGGTGAAATACAAAACAAATCTGGTGAAATTTTGGAAGAATTGAATCAAAGATGAGAAATGAAAAGAGGAACAAATGAAATCTCCACAGAAAATATTTTCTCTCTGATACCATGTTGAATTCTAGAGAGAATTCAGAAATGGAAAAGAGATTTGAGAATAATTTCTGTATTGATTAATATGAAATGATCCATACAAAATGTATTTATACTAATCCTAACAACATACTCTAATAACCAGTGGCAGCATTAGGCTCTGACCATCCGTACAGAACCATTCCTTCGAGTTCTTTTTCCTCGTCAAATTCTTCCCTGAGAATGAAACAGCGAAAAGCATAAAATCATCTGTTAAAACATTTCTGGGAAGCTGTTAACTATGGCTTTTTCAGACGAAACAAACAACAGCTTGTTGGGATCAGATGTAATACAAAATCTTTGATGGCTTGGGACTGAGGATGATGTCTGGTCACAAGTACTATGAACAACCTCGGATCTTAAAAGAAGAACTAAATTCTTAATATAGGATACGACGGATAAAAAAAGGCAAACCTGTGCTTGACATTGATCTTGCAAGACAGCTCTCGCTGAAGATCTTCCACAGTGAGAACGCTATCACTGACAACGGGAGAAGAAAGTTCCGATAAAACCTGAACGAGAAACACGAGCGTGCGAATTGTGAAATTCCAAGTACGGGTCAAGAACAAACGACAAGAATAGAAACAAACCTTCTCGAGATTGGCATTATAGTTTGCCACCATGACTTCATCAAGATCGTCACCAACTTCGTAAAGAAGGGATGCCCCATGCATACTCAATGGCAGGTTCATCCCGAGTTTGGCTTTGACGATTTTCTCAACCAGATCCCGTAATTTTGACTTCTGGGTATTGATCTCAAGTGTCAAAGGCATCTGTAACAAAATCAGACAAAGAAATTGGGACAACCGGTATCGCAGGAAAGATCCAGAATGCAGAGGGAAGGAATAAAAAAGGGTTGTAAGCCAAACAATCCATAACTTGGAACAGACATAGCGAGACGGGTTAGGTTCAAATGGTCCAACGCATAAGCAGAATCTTTTTGCTCGGGTGTTCTAAGCAATATGTCATTCTACATCCAGGGAGAGAAATCTTATAGAATTCAGTAAAATATTCAGAATAAGAACAATAGAGAGAACAGAGTGTAGAAAAACCTGTAATTCTTTTCGAGAACTTTGACTGCTTCAATGACAATTAATCCGGCTATAATAGCGTTTGTCGTTGCAATGGCATGAACGATATTTCCGAAAAGACTGCAAGGGAATCCCGAAAGAAGCAGCTCGGATATTCACAAACTCCACAGCTAACCGATCATCTTTATCAAAATCCTGTTAATGGGGAGAAGAAAAGAAAAAACTTCAATGCTTCGAGAAAAACCCGAGAATTGTCTGTAAGAGCCCACACGTCCTGTGGATGCCGTTGCAGAGACCGTTTATATTTCCATTTTGTTGGGTCAGACATTCGGGCATGTATATGGGCCTCGGTCTATTACGATTCTTCCATGTCTCCTCGTTGGACAAAGCCATTTCAATGTTGTAACTCGATATCTTCGTCTTTTGCACGTTGTTTCATTGGACGAGATCACGGAGTTGCTGGATCGCATGTTGAGATCATTCTCTTGGTTCTTTCGCCCACACAACTGCAAGTACATATAATAACTGAAATTTATTGACACGTAAAGCCTTTTTCTGATTTTCTACTCCCGTTATTCGAAATATGAACAAAGAGCCTGTAGAAAAACGGGCATTCTAATACCTTAGCCGGTGTGCTGGTTATCGTACACACTGGGTATGTTTTCGGTGCAGGTTTTGGTTGTCCTTTCACATGCACTGTCACCTGCTCCAAACAAACATTCACTCAATAATAACACAGTAAAGAGGAAATTCGGGCAATTCCATGCCGAATTCACGTTCGAGCGAGGACAGGGACATCCCACGTTCGAGCTTTGGACTGCCCAACATGCGATTGACGGAATAAATACTGCCTATTCAGGTTACTGACTTCAATAGTGTCCATGTCAATCTGTCACAAACACAAGTAATTAGCCGAATGACAGATAGCCAATAGAGGAGTCGAAGGTAAAGATCCGACTGTGGAATCTCGTAAGCCATTGCTCTAGCCATTTTCCACAGTTAGATCTCCAAAAGAGTCCACCCTGCCATATTTATCAATGCCTAAGATGCAACCACACACAATCATTGAATATCAGACCTAAGACCCACACATAGAACTGATCTAAGACATCTATAAGTTGTCAAGCTGTGTTACACTACACCCACCAGCTAAAAATGAATAGAGTGTTCGAAAAAAAAGAAAATTAAAATGTTCTATCTCCTCAGAAAAGACAAGAGTCAACCAGATTTGCCCATCAATTGGATACCGAGGTCTTATACACTACAGAAACATGAAGAGACAACTGCATGGAACACATCTCGTCTTCCATGCAATGCTAAAGACTCTTTTAAGTTCACAACAAAACTATGTTTCCTGTTCCAGATAACCTGAAACGACTGAAGACACATCAAGAGACAATGCATGAGGCAATTTTTCTAAAATGCACTACCTGTGTCGCATCAATTATACAGGTACACCTCTAAAATAGGGACGGGAATTTTTAACAAATTGTACACTAGTTTTCAGGGTAAATTACTTAAATCTCCTTGTTTTCAAAATGTCAAAAATACCCTTAATGTTAAATTATAAAAACGTGGGCCTTTTTTATTTGAAAGAATACTTTTGTATGCAGGTCTCGTTTCTCTCTCACCTCTCTCACTTTCTGTTGCATCGTTACTCTATTGTTTTATGGTTTCTCCATTGTAACACATTATTGAGTTTTGGGACGATTTTTGCGTCGGTTTTTGTGCATTTGATGGGAAAATATGCTATTAAGGTATTATAACTCTAAATTCCAATCAATTTCATCTATTACCATGCCATTTTAAAAAATATATGCTTTGATATGGGTATAGGGTATGAAATCCGATAATGAGTCGAATCAAAAGTGCCGGAGAAAAACGGTGAAAGAAAAAAAGATCAAGGATGAATCCATGTGATTCGGAGGAGTAAAATGGGACAGAGTAAAACAAAAGGAAGAAGACGAGAAAAGAAATCGAGGTATACAGTTAGGAGATGAAATGTAAACTGATGTATGTATATTTCATCTGATAACTGTAACGACTTTTTGTGAACTATTGAATCGTGACTGCGTTGCGACCTTTTGAACTTTATTTTGAAGAACGAAAGCAAGTGAAGTTTATTTATAAAAAAAATATTTTGATTAGTTTATTTATAAAAAAGCAACGTGTGAAAAAAGTCTGACACATGCGTTTTGTCCCTAGACATAAAAAGAGAAGAATAAGTAAAAAAATAATTCTAAAAAACCAAAATCTGACACATGTAAAAAAAGTAAGATTTTGTCTTATTATAAACCAAAACTAATATTTTGTAACTTAAAAACGGATGCTTTACGATTTTCGAAAATTAGTGATAATGTCCTAAAAATCGTTAAATAAAACGAATTTTTATTAAGAATTCATATATATGAACTTAATATTGTCTAATTAAGCAAAATTAAGCGGAAAATTTGAGTTTAAAATCAAATTATAGAACTTTTATATAAAATCATCAACTTTGGACCAAATCACTCCATAATCTTTCTTACACATATAGGAGTGTTTTCTAATTTACATTAAAATTTTTTTCAAAATCTTTGTTTTCTTAATTTGTATCTTTAAATCATTTTATAACACTTATTTGGTATGTTTTCGTCATTAATCCACCAAAAAATTATCAAAAATTACTAGTATTTATATAAATACGACTAATGTAAGTCGTATTTAAGTTATAATTTACAATGTTTTCGCAATATATTTTTTTTTATCATGGGTCTACCTGTCAGATGATTACTTTGACTTTTCTTTCATCGATTGCGACTTACTTTTTAATATTGCGACTTACATTTTTAATATGCGACTTACTTTTTAATATTGCGACTTATTTTTTTAATGTTACGACTTATTTTTTAATATTGCGACTTACTTTTTAATATTACGACTTACTTTTAAACATTACGACTTACTTTTTAATCTTACAACTTACTTTTTAATATTACGACTTACTTTTAAATATTACGACTTATTTTTTCATTTTTTGAAAAATAATAACTACTCTATTATGACTTATTTTTTTATAAATCGCAACATATTTTTTCCATTAACTACGACTTTAGAGTTTACAAAATCAACCTGTTTTCAAATAACACAAAATATCATAACGTGATAAAATCAAAGTTCAAGTCTATCAAACCTAATACAAAATACCAAAATAACATCATGTCCTACAAAACAACATAACATAAAAACAAGTTCAAGTCATGTCTTCTCAAACCAAGTTCAAGATTTTTGCCCACGACCTCTACCTCTTCTACGTCATCCTCGACCATAACTCATCATCTTTCTTCGTCTTCACTGCTCGATTAATGAGTGCAACCATTAAGCTCATCTTCAGCGTTTGCTTCTTCTTCATGTGGAATATGTGCCTAAATTGTGACACTTCTGTGAAATACTTTATTTCCCCCTGTCAAATGCTTCTCCAAATATTCCACTACGTCTATATGAAAACATTTCGATGACAGTTTCACCGCAACCTTGTTCATGTCATCGAATTCATAATAGAATTCTGCTTTCGGAATATCATAAACCTGCAATAACACACTGATTCATTAAATATATAACAGATTAGTTTAGGGTTTTGTTTGATTATAAAAAAATTGGTTTTGTCAGATGCTTTATCTTTTTTCTTTTTTTTTTCTTTTTTTACTTAAATTCAAACTTTTGAACATTTTTTTTAAATTTAACTTTCATAAAAAAATTCTTTTTTGACTTTCATCGATTTCCATTTTTCTTCGTTGACTTGTTTCAAAATCGCCATTCGTTTTGTCTGATTTCGCACTTTCTCCATTTTTTTTAAAATATGTAAAAACTGTTAAAAAAAATTAAAATAAATCTGTACACGTTTTTTTCTCGCGTTTTTTTTCTCTCTCTCAAATAAATCGGTACACGGACATGTAGTTCTCATAGGTTCTTTTCATTAAGGGCTACATAGTCTTTTCCATTTATTTTAAGGGCACAGAAGACTTTTGCTAATAGGTTATATTTTTAAGGTGTACCCATGAAATAGAAGCGACAGGAGTAGTGTATTTGAGAACAGCCGACGTTCGAGCAGGGTTTTGTGGGGTAAATTTTTTTGCTATTAGATAAGCTTTCTTCGGCGGTCAAATCCACGGAATCTATGGGGAAGAACAGGAAGACGAAGAGAGATGGAGAAGAAAAGTCTCAACACTGTGCCGCCACTGTATTCGTCACTGGATTGCCCTATTCCTTCACCAATCCTCAGGCATCTTCTGTTTTCTTCCCTTCTTTGGTTTCTTAATCCGTGTAGCTGGTTGGTTCTCGGGAAAGTTGTATGGCGAAATCCTTGGGGAGAAATCAGATGTCATATAAACACTTCATGATATAATTTTTTTTTATGTAGATGCATGGGCTCTGCGACTCTAAAAACAGGGAAATTGTGCATTCTTTTTTTATTCTTGTTGAATTCCTAAGTTGGTTCAATTCCGTTTTTAGGCGAATTTACTATTTCTGTGGTGGAAGTTCTCTTTCAATGTTCATCAGTCGCGTTGGTTTTTCCATGTTTTAGCTTGAAGAAACCTTCAGCGATGTTGGTCCCGTCAGGCTTTGTTTTATGGTCACAAAGAAAGGTAAGCAAATTCATGCCCTATGTATTGGTAAAAAATATTAGCGTTTGTGATGCCTTGTTTTTTAGCAGAAGTTATGTGCTATTCTTTCTGTGACAGCTAAATCTGGCTTTGAATTACCTCTTTTTACTTAGATGTTCTTCTGCCTATGAGGAGCTAATAATTTTCTTCAATTGTATTTGTAGGATCAAATGAACACCGTGGCTTTGGGTTTGTTAAATTGTAAGTTACTCACCCTTTTCTAGAAATTATTTTTATGCTGGGTAGTGGACAGTTTATATTTGTTCTTGAAATCCTAATTCTCCCCCTCTGGTACGTGTTTGATTCTTTACAGTGCTTTAGTGGATGATGCTAAACGTGCCATCGAGTTGAAGAACGGTTCTACTGTTGGGGGTCGTAAGATTACAGTTAAGCATGCCACGCATCGTGCTCCTCTGGAGCAGCGCCGTGCAAAAGCAGCAGAAGGTTGATTCCATTATCTTTTGGATTCTAAGATTTAAGTTATTACCATCTTCTTGACAGTTTTTTTACAGATTGACTAACATCAATACTCATGCGAGTTTCTATATTTCTCATATGAATTAGGGGTATCATCAGTCGACCAATCAGAGACAAAGAGTGACAAGGACAGTGTGATCCCTGAGACTGAGAAGCAAGGTATGAAGCGTGTGCCTGTTTGGTTCTGTCTTTTTTAAGTTAGTTGGTCATGTTGGCTTGTTCTCATTTCTGCTTAACTTTGTATCTCTGTAATCAGCCCATACCCCAGAAAAAAAGCTAGAGAAACAGGTTGAACGAAAAAGACCAGCAAAGCTGTGTGTTGATTTAAGGGACAAAGAAGCTTGTTCAGAGAAGCAAAGGTATGACTTTGACATTCCATAATAATTGTTAGATTTCCAGAAAGTTATGAGTGATTAAAATGACCTTGTGATAGCCTTTTTAAGAAACATTGTTTATGAATTTCTCATTGAGGTTAAGCTATAAGTTCCAAATATTTGAGGTATGCCATGATCTGTATGGGGTGCATATACAGAAGCAGAATGATTTATATTGAACAGATTTTTCGTTTTGGGAAAGTGCCAAAAAAGTGATTAAAATTGTGGTTCTTAGGGGAATCACCAAAATGAGGCTTAAACTGTGGTTTTTAGGGAAATCACCAAATTGATGATTAATCCTGTGGTTTATGTTAGTTCTTATGTTTATGTTATTAGTTGTTTTGACAGAATTTTACATGGATTATCTTCTTTATTTTAATTCGTGAAGAGTTGCAAGAACTGTGATATTCGGTGGCCTTCTTGATGCTGAGATGGCGGAGATGGTCCATCGGCATGTGCAAGAGGTTGGCACTGTGTGCTCCATCACATATCCCCTTCCAAAAGACGAGCTTCAACAAAATGGTAAGAACTGGTAACAAAATGCAGACATGGTTCTGTTGTTGGGTGGTTGACCACCAAGGTTTCTGCCGGTTCTTTTTATTGAATTGGCAACTTACTGTCCCCAACTAATGAAAGAGGTTGATGTTTTGAGTTGATATCAACTTTTACATTTGATGCCAAGATAATCCAGTCAGCTGCGTTTGACCTTGCGATACGTATGTTAGAAGAGAGAGTTATTATTCTAGCCAATCCACAAAATATAGGTGAACATCATTAGTTATAGTTTAGATGAAAATCATTAGTTCATGGACCTCCATTTACTAACTTGAGCCATGAGGAGGTTCATAGGATGCCCTGGGCAGCAGAAGCTTATGCCCTGTTCTTTATTCAGGGATAGTCTGCATATCTCCCTATCCATGTGTTAATTGTTTTTCAGGACACCTGTTTCCCCTGAAATTGGCACAGAAGACTTTTGCTAATAGGTTATATTTTTAAGGTGTACCCATGAAATAGAAGCGACAGGAGTAGTGTATTTGAGAACAGCCGACGTTCGAGCAGGGTTTTGTGGGGTAAATTTTTTTGCTATTAGATAAGCTTTCTTCGGCGGTCAAATCCACGGAATCTATGGGGAAGAACAGGAAGACGAAGAGAGATGGAGAAGAAAAGTCTCAACACTGTGCCGCCACTGTATTCGTCACTGGATTGCCCTATTCCTTCACCAATCCTCAGGCATCTTCTGTTTTCTTCCCTTCTTTGGTTTCTTAATCCGTGTAGCTGGTTGGTTCTCGGGAAAGTTGTATGGCGAAATCCTTGGGGAGAAATCAGATGTCATATAAACACTTCATGATATAATTTTTTTTTATGTAGATGCATGGGCTCTGCGACTCTAAAAACAGGGAAATTGTGCATTCTTTTTTTATTCTTGTTGAATTCCTAAGTTGGTTCAATTCCGTTTTTAGGCGAATTTACTATTTCTGTGGTGGAAGTTCTCTTTCAATGTTCATCAGTCGCGTTGGTTTTTCCATGTTTTAGCTTGAAGAAACCTTCAGCGATGTTGGTCCCGTCAGGCTTTGTTTTATGGTCACAAAGAAAGGTAAGCAAATTCATGCCCTATGTATTGGTAAAAAATATTAGCGTTTGTGATGCCTTGTTTTTTAGCAGAAGTTATGTGCTATTCTTTCTGTGACAGCTAAATCTGGCTTTGAATTACCTCTTTTTACTTAGATGTTCTTCTGCCTATGAGGAGCTAATAATTTTCTTCAATTGTATTTGTAGGATCAAATGAACACCGTGGCTTTGGGTTTGTTAAATTGTAAGTTACTCACCCTTTTCTAGAAATTATTTTTATGCTGGGTAGTGGACAGTTTATATTTGTTCTTGAAATCCTAATTCTCCCCCTCTGGTACGTGTTTGATTCTTTACAGTGCTTTAGTGGATGATGCTAAACGTGCCATCGAGTTGAAGAACGGTTCTACTGTTGGGGGTCGTAAGATTACAGTTAAGCATGCCACGCATCGTGCTCCTCTGGAGCAGCGCCGTGCAAAAGCAGCAGAAGGTTGATTCCATTATCTTTTGGATTCTAAGATTTAAGTTATTACCATCTTCTTGACAGTTTTTTTACAGATTGACTAACATCAATACTCATGCGAGTTTCTATATTTCTCATATGAATTAGGGGTATCATCAGTCGACCAATCAGAGACAAAGAGTGACAAGGACAGTGTGATCCCTGAGACTGAGAAGCAAGGTATGAAGCGTGTGCCTGTTTGGTTCTGTCTTTTTTAAGTTAGTTGGTCATGTTGGCTTGTTCTCATTTCTGCTTAACTTTGTATCTCTGTAATCAGCCCATACCCCAGAAAAAAAGCTAGAGAAACAGGTTGAACGAAAAAGACCAGCAAAGCTGTGTGTTGATTTAAGGGACAAAGAAGCTTGTTCAGAGAAGCAAAGGTATGACTTTGACATTCCATAATAATTGTTAGATTTCCAGAAAGTTATGAGTGATTAAAATGACCTTGTGATAGCCTTTTTAAGAAACATTGTTTATGAATTTCTCATTGAGGTTAAGCTATAAGTTCCAAATATTTGAGGTATGCCATGATCTGTATGGGGTGCATATACAGAAGCAGAATGATTTATATTGAACAGATTTTTCGTTTTGGGAAAGTGCCAAAAAAGTGATTAAAATTGTGGTTCTTAGGGGAATCACCAAAATGAGGCTTAAACTGTGGTTTTTAGGGAAATCACCAAATTGATGATTAATCCTGTGGTTTATGTTAGTTCTTATGTTTATGTTATTAGTTGTTTTGACAGAATTTTACATGGATTATCTTCTTTATTTTAATTCGTGAAGAGTTGCAAGAACTGTGATATTCGGTGGCCTTCTTGATGCTGAGATGGCGGAGATGGTCCATCGGCATGTGCAAGAGGTTGGCACTGTGTGCTCCATCACATATCCCCTTCCAAAAGACGAGCTTCAACAAAATGGTAAGAACTGGTAACAAAATGCAGACATGGTTCTGTTGTTGGGTGGTTGACCACCAAGGTTTCTGCCGGTTCTTTTTATTGAATTGGCAACTTACTGTCCCCAACTAATGAAAGAGGTTGATGTTTTGAGTTGATATCAACTTTTACATTTGATGCCAAGATAATCCAGTCAGCTGCGTTTGACCTTGCGATACGTATGTTAGAAGAGAGAGTTATTATTCTAGCCAATCCACAAAATATAGGTGAACATCATTAGTTATAGTTTAGATGAAAATCATTAGTTCATGGACCTCCATTTACTAACTTGAGCCATGAGGAGGTTCATAGGATGCCCTGGGCAGCAGAAGCTTATGCCCTGTTCTTTATTCAGGGATAGTCTGCATATCTCCCTATCCATGTGTTAATTGTTTTTCAGGACACCTGTTTCCCCTGAAATTGGCACAGAAGACTTTTGCTAATAGGTTATATTTTTAAGGTGTACCCATGAAATAGAAGCGACAGGAGTAGTGTATTTGAGAACAGCCGACGTTCGAGCAGGGTTTTGTGGGGTAAATTTTTTTGCTATTAGATAAGCTTTCTTCGGCGGTCAAATCCACGGAATCTATGGGGAAGAACAGGAAGACGAAGAGAGATGGAGAAGAAAAGTCTCAACACTGTGCCGCCACTGTATTCGTCACTGGATTGCCCTATTCCTTCACCAATCCTCAGGCATCTTCTGTTTTCTTCCCTTCTTTGGTTTCTTAATCCGTGTAGCTGGTTGGTTCTCGGGAAAGTTGTATGGCGAAATCCTTGGGGAGAAATCAGATGTCATATAAACACTTCATGATATAATTTTTTTTTATGTAGATGACTAACATCAATACTCCTGAACCGCATACACCTGATATCCATCCAACCAAGAAATCTAAGAAACGAAAAACAAGGGAAGGGGCAGAACCGGTGGAGAACACTGGAGTAGTGGCAGACAATGCAATGGGTAACAAGAAGAAGAAACGCGCATTCACTGGGGAAGAGACTAAAGAATCAGCAAAACCAGTGGATAAAACTGGAGCCGTTAGAGATGAAGCAGCCGGAAACAAGAAGGGAAAGAAGAAGAAATCCGCATGTCCTCAAGAAGAGACTAAGAAACCGTCTTTTAATCAAAACCAGGAAGGTCAACCCCGGAAACAAGGGCAAAGGCATCAGCAAGACAGAACCGAAGAGAATGCCCGGAAAACAAATCCTAAGAGTTCCAAAGATGATCTGAACGGTCAAACGAGAAAGAGGAAGAAGGTAGCCCGGGATGAGAAAGGCGAAGAGAGCTCATCAACGGGGCAGCAGAAAAGGAAGAAGCAGAAGAAGAGCGGCGGTGGGGATGTTGTGGACAGGCTCGATATGTTGATAGAGCAGTATCGGTCTAAATTCTCGCAGGGTTTGGGCAAAACAGGCGCATCAAACAAGAGCTCCGGCCAAGTCAGGAGATGGTTCCAGTCATAATACCCCCACGTGTTTCCGTCACGTCAGTCTTTCCGACCAATTTTGTCTCTTCCGTGGCATGTGGTAGAAAAAATTAGAACCCGAGCTATGTATTTGTGGTGTTCTTTTTTATTTGATCTCTCTAACCCTTGTCTTTGGATCTATTTATTCTTTGTTTTCGACACTCAATTCCCTTTGAACTACTTTGATCTATGGACTTTCTGTACGTTCTTGCTTTAGATATCTACTCGAAAAAAGCATTTTAAAATTAATAAAATTGCAAGAGTAGTTTAATCAAATGTAATTATTTTTAATAAAAAAGTTATTTTTTTAGATTTATTGATAAAATTAGAAAAAATAATCGATTTCGTCGAAAAACGAATAAATAGTTCTTGAAAATAGTATATTTAAAGGATAAATAAAATTAACATGACTTACGATACAGGGAATTTATTTACATGGGCCCAGCACTAGAATACTCTCCGGCTTTGGGCTTTTTTTTGTTGCTAAAATCGTAAATACTCAAAATAGCCCAGACGCATGCTCCGCGAGTAAACCGCACGCGTCAAAATCTAAGATTTGGAGAATCTGAGCGCGTGAGACTTTCTCTCTCTCTCCTTACCGTTCTTTTCATTCGTTTTTTTTATATCTAACTTATTCTCAGTTTAATTTAGAGAATAGAATATCCGATTCGAATTTAAATATATTATGAATATTACCAGTTTTTAGACTATTAATTTATATGTTTCACATCGATTTTTTATTTTTTATATTTTATTTTGTACAAGAAAAAATCCAACAAAATATTCAAATTGTTCCAAAAAATAAAAAGTAAAACTTTTAATTTGATAAAAAAAAATTACAAAAAATAATCTAAAATATAAAAAAAAAAAACCTTTAAAATTGTTAACGCAGTTCAAACGGAATATATACTACGCCGAAAAGCTAACTTGATAAATAAAAAAGATGACATCGCAAACACATTATTACCTACCACATCGCATTAATTTATCACATCGTTTAAGAAAACAAAATCTAGATCTTATACACACATACATACACACGTACACTTACTTATTTTTCAGATAAAAACATATTTAGTGTGGCATATTTAGTTTTTGTTTTTTACAACGGAAACCGTCTCATAGTCCTTCTGACCGACTTCTGATCCCGCGAGTCGGACAACATCTCGGATAATAAATTCTCCGACCCTTATGCAGTAACCGATAAACTATGCGGAACATGTAAACTGACCGAAAATGACCGTCTCAAGAAAACTCATACCTCAAATAGAATCGAATACACAACCTCCACTGCATAGAGTTTTTCATTTTTCAATTGAGATGGGACTTTCCCGTGGCATATTTAGTTTGGCTAGAAGAAACATTAGTTGCACATTATTTTAAAGGATTTTGGTACATATTTCATTCACACAGACCTTTATACCATAAGAATGATAAATGTTTAATTTATTATGATATAAGAAATAATTCTTTTTTTCTCTCTAAAAGCACGATACCGCCCTTTAGTGCCTTTAAAAAATATGTTTCTTTATTGACGGAGCAAGATTAAAAATACCAAAAACGTTTTTACCCGGCAATGCATATGGTCGACATTTCGATTCGGATTATCACGACTAGCTAATCTACTTAGCTCATCAAATTACAAAAAAATATATCCTTGGTTTTTAAAATTAATATATTTTCTAGTCACTAGAAAGAGTTTTAAATCACAAATCACAATTTTATTAAAAATTTGGCATATTTTTTTGTATGTAATACTAAATATATATTAAACTTATACAAACACATTCAATCATATTACATAAAATATATCAAAATATTAAATTTGTTAAAAATATTAATATAAAGCGATTATTATCATTTAATTCACATTCTTTTATCACCTTTTGATAAAATCGAATCAAAATTCGTGATATTTTAACGATTTTATAAGAATTCGTTGGTGGCAAATAAGTTGTAATCAAGTTGTAAATATTTGGTTGTGGCCGATTCCCGAGATAAAACGTTGTTTTTTACTTTTGGTTGGGCCCATTTTTATTTGTTCAAAATTGGCAGCTCTTTTTTTGCCACTTATATTTGCAGTATATATGACTTTCTATATTTATTTCTTAAACATAAAATCGATTTCATACGAATTTCGCCACAAATATTTTTCCAAGTGTTTCTCATTTGATACACAATTGTCAGATTTTTAAATAATTCGTATTTTAATTTTTGTCCACATGATTTTTATTAATTAATTTCGATATTCATCCTTTTTTTACAAAAATTCAAAACGAATTCGGTTACAATTGCTACTACTTTTTTTGTTGTTACAAATTGCAACTATTTCTTTGTAACTTTGTTTTGTAGTATTTACGACTTTTCGTACTTTTTCGATTTTTATCTCAACGTCTTTTTTTATGATTTTTAATTTCTGAATCATTATTAAAAACAATATTTTTTTATTTTTTATGTCCATCAAAAAGTATAAACGTTAATATATTAAAATTGTTCTATTTTATTTATTGAGTTAATTTTATATTCTAGATTTCTAGTGATGTATAGTATTATAATTTTATTTTTATTTATTAATTATTTCTAATTAGTTTAATATATTATATAATATAATAAATAAGTTATTAGTTTTAAAATTAGTTTTTATAAAAATTTTAAAATAAACTATTCAATTAAAAGAATCAAAATAATCTAAAACATAATTGATAAGAATTAGATTAAATATTAATTATATATATTAAGTGTTTCTTTTGTTTTTCTATTTTTTTAATTTTAAATCTTTATAAAAAACATTAATTTTTCACTTTTTAATATTTTTCATTAAATTTTTATCAAAAATCGGTGACGTGTTTTTTTATACGCTTCTTTATATTAAGGGTGATATGGTCCTTTCCTTGTTTTATAAGGGTAAATTTGACTTTTGATCATTGCTTCTAATTCTGAGGTGTTTCATGAAAGGCGTGCGACAGATAAGGTGCAATTCTGAAGTTTGCCCTGTTGTTGAAGGTTATTGCTGAAGGTTATTGCCCCGCCGACGGGCAATTTTTCTAAAATGCACTACCTGTGTCGCATCAATTACACAGGTACACCTCTAAAATAGGGACGGGAATTTTTAACAAATTGTACACTAGTTTTCAGGGTAAATTACTTAAATCTCCTTGTTTTCAAAATGTCAAAAATACCCTTAATGTTAAATTATAAAAACGTGGGCCTTTTTTATTTGAAAGAATACTTTTGTATGCAGGTCTCGTTTCTCTCTCACCTCTCTCACTTTCTGTTGCATCGTTACTCTATTGTTTTATGGTTTCTCCATTGTAACACATTATTGAGTTTTGGGACGATTTTTGCGTCGGTTTTTGTGCATTTGATGGGAAAATATGCTATTAAGGTATTATAACTCTAAATTCCAATCAATTTCATCTATTACCATGCCATTTTAAAAAATATATGCTTTGATATGGGTATAGGGTATGAAATCCGATAATGAGTCGAATCAAAAGTGCCGGAGAAAAACGGTGAAAGAAAAAAAGATCAAGGATGAATCCATGTGATTC